AGGAAACACATGGATCAATTATGGAGTTGCAGTATGTGCTATGAACTCTTATATGGCTTGCCTTATAAGAAAAGCTCAATAATAGAATCATAAGCACCAACTTACTCTTCTGAGGCTCGCTTCTCTGCTCTTCTCCCTTGCTCTATGGAATTTGTGGACCTGTTCGTGGGCTTTTCTGGCCTCTTGCCCTCAGCATAGGCCTTAGCTTGTGGTTCTCAGTGGGGATGGAGGTGACCTTGTTTCCCTCCAGCTCTGGGCAGGCCTGGTAGAGATACTGGCTCAGAGATAGCAGCTTCTGCCTGATAGGAAGTCATGCATCACCCTCCGCTGGGTTTAGTCAGTGCCGCAGGTGTTTGGTTGCCTCAGCAGACTCCACAGAAGGCCTTGTCTACATATCTAAGTGTCTGGTAACCCAGATAAAGTTCCCTGAAATTTCCCCAAATCATGTAGGTCCTAAGCTCCCGGGTATATAGGTTAATAGGTCTTTAAATGCTTTTATTTATTTCCTGTGTGTGTATGCGTGATATTGAGGGGCGGTGATGGGAGTCAGAGCGTGCATGTGACATAAACAAGGTAACTTTACGGAGTTGGTCCTCTTCTCCCACCTTTCCAGGGGTCAACTCAGGTTGCCAGGTTGCGTGGCGAGTACCTTTACCTGCTGAGCCAATGTGACTGTGACTAATGGGTCGTAACTACTCTACATGTGGCCCTGTTGAGTGTCAGAATTTTAAAGCCCTCCCTTATGCTTGTATCTTTGTGTACAAATGCAAACCAATCATTGGCACATTGTAAGAGTCCCAAAGCAGCAGTCTGCCAGCTAGTGGTTGGTGGGTATTTATAAAAAGTTTAAGAGAGCGAGGTGGTGGTGGCGCACACCTTTAATCCCAGCACTTGGGAGGCAGAGGCAGGTGGATCTCTGTGAGTTTGAGGCCAGCCTGGTCTACAAGAGCTAGTTCCAGGACCGGTACCAAAAGCTACAGAGAAACCTTGTCTCAAAACAAACAAACAAACAAGTTTAAGAGATAGAGGGCATGAGAAATATTCAAAAGAAATTGAAGCTGACTATGGTGGCACACACCTTTAGTTCCAGTACTTGGGAGGCAGAGACGGGCAGAACAGATCTACATAGTGAGTTCCAGGCCAGCCAGTGTTACATAGTTAGATCCTATCTCAAGAAACAACAACAAAAAGAAATTCCTTCGTAATCTGTGCTGAACACAACATTCTTTTGTACCCGTAACATCCCAGCGACTGTCTACATAGTGTCTGCCTTTCCTACGGTTGATATAATAAACACTGCTGTTTGCAGTAGACCAGAGGGGTGGGGGGTTCCTATGCCTGTGCCATGCCATTTTATAGATGGGTCTTGAGTATCTGAGGGAGGCCCTGGAACCTGTATCCCGGATACTGATGAAGGACTGAATGGGTGTATCAGTCGATGCTGTACTTCCAGAGGACCTGGGTTCAGTTCCCAGTACCCAGTTCCAGAGGAGCGAACACGCACGCTCACAGATATACATGCAGTCAAACAGAGAGAGAGAGGGGGGGGGGGGGAGAGAGAGAGAGAGAGAGAGAGAGAGAGAGAGAGAGTTCAAAGCCCCAGTTATACAGTTTGAGGCCAGCCTGAGCTGCATGAGACCCTGACTCAACCCCTCCCCCACCCGAATGTCACGTTGCTAACACATGCACGCCCTTTCTTAAGTTTTACACTCTCTTGCCACACTCTTCCTCTTTCCTTGATGCTGTGAATAACAACACAGAGGCACTGTCCACCTCCAGCAAGGGCAGTATGATTCTGATCTGCTGTGTTTCTTGCCCTCTCCTGGGGAAAGGGTGCTCTGCCCTTCTTTTCTTCCCGTCTAGTGTTTGACCTCAAACGGGCCACATGCACCCGTCCATGTCCTTGCGGCGTCCCCAGTTAAAATGGTTTAGTTGTTTCATTTCTTTGAGCCAATGAGTCTCCATTCTATTGCTTCCCTCCCCTACCCATCTTCAGAGTCTAGTCACTTCTGTTTGGTTCCTTTGTCTTCTCCCCGGTCTCTATGAGGCTCTGGGCGCATGGGTGTCCCTGGGTGAAGCTGTGGTGCTGGAATGCTTGAATACCAGCCAGCACCCATGCACCTCACCCTTCAGGTGCTGTTAGAGCATGCGGGGACACTCACGAAGCCGCACTGCTGGTCTTTAGTAAGAAGGACCCAGGACTCCTAAGCAGGAGCAGGCCTGGGTGGATTAGTGACTAGGGTTGTTCATGACCCGAGCACCCCAACTTCGGGAGGCTTTGGGGGGAATCTTCTTTTACTTTTTTTGTAGGTTGTGGTTCTCAAATGGCCCTGAGTCACCATTACTTGGGTGAGCAGAAGTAATAAAATCTCAAAGAGAGAAATTGGGGTTCAATCTAAAGGTCAGAAAAGTAAAACAGCCGGCTCCTGGAGAGGAAGTCTCTGTAAGCAGACTTGCAAGGAGGGGCTGGCGAGTAGGAGCCTTGGAAGCCAGAGCCTGTGGTCTAGCTCAGGCCCATATGTAAATAGCTCATCACTCTTTGTATGTAATATGTAAAGGTGTAGGGTGTCTGTAAAGAAGGGGCAAGGGACAGCTGTTGGGAGTATGCTTAGCTTGGGGGCTGAGGACAGACAGCGGCAGCAGGAAAACCCACTCACGATGGAGAATTGTACTTCATTTTTATCTCAGGTATGGGGTGAGGAGTCCAGTCCTGTGTGGCGGAGAAGAAAGCAGGCTTAGGTGATTGTCCTACCCAGAGTCACTAGGCATTGTTAGCTCTGACTGAGATCTATTTGGCTCCAGTGGCCCTAGCCTTTTACTTCTCAACTGGAAGACACTGATGACGCTGGCTTAGGACCTGTCTGCAGTCCAGGGACATGGTTTGTGTTTGGTTGTTTCTGGCTGCGCTCGGGCACGTGATCTGGTTTAAACCAGATCTGTGAAACAGATGCTCTGGACGGGCTGCTCAGGCATCAGGCCTTTGGTTCTCACAGTTCTGGGTTCTGGGTACTGTGATGTCTAAGTCAAGGAGCCGGCACTGTGGAGCGCTGTGTCATCACCTGCCCTATCGACAAGGCACTAATCCCAACGTTGGCACACTGCCCAGAGGCCATTCCACAGGAAGCCTCGGGCCCAGCATTCATGCAAACATTAGGCTCCACAGAGGAGCCACAGTGGTGTTTCTTCCTTCTGCCTGTGCTCACTTGGACAAACTTTTATCTGCTTTACCCCTTCAGGAAAGGGCGGGTGCTGGCAGGACCGTCCCCATGGCTCCTTGGTCCGTGACCCTGGGTCTAACTTCTTTCCCAGCAGCCCCCACTCCTGTCCCCTGCCCTGCTCTGTTGTCTTGTTTGAGCACTCGTATTTGATGACAGTGTCTCTGTCCTCACAGCACGTACACCCCCGTCTCACTCCCACAACAAACCGTGTAGGGAATTTTATGAGGGTCCCTTAGTCAGTGTCGAGATATGAGGTCATTCACAAGGACACGTGATGACAGTTGGGGCCTGAGCCTGGGCCCAGTGATTGAAACCCGGTCACTTTCCCCCGTCTGGGGCACTGTGGACATCTCACCCAAAGGACCAAGGCGAAGTAACCGGTGAAGAGCGGAGAAAGGTCACGCCTTTTATCTCATCTCTGACCTTGTCCTTTTTATATGAAGGGTTTTCATAGCCTAATTCTTGGGAGTAACTTTCTCCCTTAATTAAGAATTCTAATTTTAAAGCAAGTTCCGGCCTCTTTCTTTCCAGACTCATTCTGCTGTTTTGATTGGATTTCATGGCTAGGAATTAAGATCCTTATTTTGTCTGTTGTTTTTCGCCATGGTTGGTTATCAGGGCGGACTGCTGCTTTACCGAGGTCGTAAACATGCTTGTCCCGTTGGAATATCAATAAAGACAGTGGGTCTTAGAGGCTAAGCCATAGGCAAGGCCCCTGTGAGCCCTCTTTTCTCAAATGCCTTAGTCCCTTGAACTTTTCTTCGTAGAGAATCCTGAGGGAATCAGGATGTCTCTGTGAGAGCCTGGAGAAGGTAGAAGTTTGACAAGGTCAGTTCCCTGGACAGAAGCTCGCAGACACCCAGGAAAGTGCGCTTTCTTTTGGGTGTCACGCATCGTGGGTGCCCACAAACTTCACACGGTTGCAGGGAAGGGAGGAGCCCATCTTGGTGCCGCCCACAGGGAACACCTGGGTGGCCGGCGGGAAACCTGAGCTGAGCGCCGCATCACCAGAACAGAATGTTGGACCAAAACCCAATAACAAACAGAATCCCCAAAAGAAAAGCTAAATGATACCCTGTTACTTAACGTGCCTGAGATCGTTTGAAACAGTACTCTGGATGTTGCCCCTGGCCAGAGACAGGAGTGACGGTGTGACTCCAGGCGAAGAAAAGGTAAATGCCAGATTCGAAAGAAGGGTTAGTTCTCAGGAGCCACCGAGAGATCTGGGAGGCGGTCCCAGGAGCAGCAATAATGCCTCTGATTTTTTTTTTTTAATAAAAATAGTTGGCAGATATGTGGATCTTAATATACCATAGTTTTCATCCTTTTCAAAGCTGTTTTTTTTTTTTTTTTAAAAAAAAAAAAAAAAAAAGAGGCAGAGCCTTTTCCACCTCCGCATGGCTATGACTTTCTCTTCAGGAGCCCCTGGGTTTGGCATTTGTCCCCTGTCCATGGTCCTGTCACAGCCTTTTACCGCTTCATGGTGTCAGCCCTAGTGGGGGAGCGGGGGGGGGGGGGGGGGGGGGNGGGGGGGGGGGGGGGGGGGGACGAGAAGCCCCACCTCTGCCCCTTAAGTGTAGGACATAAAAGTTGGTCAAAGTTAACAGAGGCAACTCGAATTCCTAATAAATTCACTGAGAATCTCCTTCCAGAGCAGAGGGGCAGCTGGGGTTAGAGGCAGGGGCCAGAGGTGTTCTGAAAAGCTGGTGTGTCCTCTTGCCTTAGTGTCTTGTCCCTTGGTGTATCTAGTTCTGAAACCAACTGTTTCCTTTGCTTTAACAGCATGGCCGGACCCCCTTGCACCTTGCTGCCAATAAGGGCCATCTCTCTGTGGTCCAGATTCTGCTGAAGGCTGGCTGTGACCTCGACCTGCAGGATGATGTAAGTAGAAGCATCATTCCCTCCAGAGAAGGGTTGGCAGAGGAACTCGTCTGCAGTCACGGCCCTCAGTGCAGATGCTGGCGGTGTGAGCAGGGCGGGTACTAGATGCTTGCCAGAAGTTTCGTTTGTGTGTCTTTTGTCTCTCGCCTGGCCCCTGTTCTTGGGGCCCATTCTCAGCAATGAAGGGGCTCGCAGGAGGCTCTTGGGTTGTGGTTCTTTTTGCCCCATTAGCATCTGAGTCCAGAGTCTGAGGGCATTGGCCTAGGTCCTGTTTTAGGACAGAGGACTCGCTCTTGCAGTGAGTGTGGGAAAGACCCATTGGATGTGTGCCAAATTTACTGCTGAAGAAAAGGTGAGGCTTAACACCCATCCTCTTCCTTTGTCTTAACTTCTCTTAGTGTACATGTAGCTTGAAGTTCCATCCCAATTAAAAAGGGGGAAACGGACTTATGCAAAATCAAGGCCTCTTGAAAGAGTTTGCTGGTGCTTCTATGCTCTTACTGAGGGAGTCCGACTCCCGTCACTCACTGAGATGTCCATCCAGGTTGTTGGGGGAGGAATCCCACTGGCTCCTTCCGCATCGACTATTTAGTCTGAGTCTGTGAGCTTTGGCCGAGTAGGACTGCGCAGCACAGAGCTTGTTCTTTTGGGTCCTTGGAGAAGGTGGCGTCTCCAAGGAGGGATGGAATAAATTGCCCTCCAGTGAGTTTTCAGGAAGAAACAGTATGGAAATGTGCTTGGGAATGATTTTCAGAAACTGTTAACTCCTTTTTTTTTCCTTTTTTTTAAAAATTATTTTATTTGGAGTATTTTGCTTGCTTGGTGCCTGCACAGTCTAGAATAGGGCATCGATCCAGAACTGGAGTTATAGGTGGTTGTGAACACCATATGAGTGCTAGGAATCAAATTCAGGTCCTTTGAAAGAGCAACAATTACTCTTAATCATTGAGCCAGCTCTTCAGTGCCGCCTCCCCCTGCCCCATCTCTCAATGATGTCCCAGAGTTCTAAGACATCCTGTGTGTAAGCAGCATCTCACAGAGTCTAGCCTTGTCATAACTTCTTCCAATATCATTACCTAGAATATTCCTTGCAACTCCACACAGTATCCTAAAATTTGACAAACACATTCACAGATGACTTGGTTATATAGCAAGTTTGAGACTAGCCTTGGATACATGAGACTCTGTCTGTATAGGATAGCCTTGGATAAATGAGACCTATCTATATAGGCAAGTGGACAGGCAGGCACACAAACTGGTTTTATGCATGGCCAGCAGAGGGCTATCAGCATCTCATATAAATCTCTGGTTTTATCTGAAGCCTATGGGATCGCCAAGGGTGTTATTCTCAAAAATGCTGACTTAGCTCTAAGCTGTTGATTCTCACCTTGGTCATGACACCGTATTTTTCTACACTATAACCAATATAACATTCCTGACCCATATCATCTCCTTAGAGGACAGGAGGAAAATAAAGGGAGGTGGGCAAAATAAATAGTCAAAGGGAAGGTGGGATCTCGAGCTGCTGGCGCAAGAATGCTGGGATATTCTAGACTTCTCTTTGATTATTAAAGTTCTTGCTTGCCATTGTGGCAAGGTCACAAAGTCAGGCCTGCCACCCCATCCCAACCAAACACCCTCACTCAGGTCTGAGGCTCGCTGTGGTCTCATGCAGCAGCAGACACCATGCTGAGGTTTCAGATATGGAAGGAAGCAGAGAAGACAAGAATTCTCACAGCGCACGAAGGAAAGCCAGCCCTGCGTTTGGGTAAAGCACCTCCCTCATCGAGTCATTGGGTCTTTCCCCTCATTTCCTGCTCTACACAGGCACCGCATACGTTGCTTCTTCATAGAACCACGGATAGGAAGAACATTGGAGAAGGCGGAACTGTTGCGATCCTCAGCTCTTACCTGTGTGCGTCCCACGCCTGTTGACAATGGTCTTTGAGCTGTCCATAAAAACGTATGAAATCACTTTATTAGCATTAAAGAAGAGGGGAACTTAACTACGGGAGAGTCGCGTTAGCAGTTCCCTATCTGGGAGATGGGTAGAAACAGAATGTTGACGTTATGAAGATTCAATTCTAACTTCATATTCTACAGATACTGTTGTTTCTGGCATGGGAATATCTGAGAATTAGAGGAAGAATGACCTCCAGTGGCCTGGAGTGGGATTATTATGAGTTTCAACCTGCAGCTCCTGGAGCAGTATCTGTCTTGCTTCCCGCTAATCCTATCAACGCTCAGTGGAGCTCAAATGCCATCTCTGATTGGTCAATGAGTAATCACATGACTTCTACCCCAGAAATAGTCCAGGACCCTGTGACCGCAGTAAAAAGCGTGAAGGAAGACAAAAATAAGAGAAAGCAGAGAAGAAAGGCTAGGAAGGACCCTAGAAGATCTGAAAGAGAAGAGGTCAGCACCCTGCTTCGCCTGCCTACCTGGTGTAGGGCTTGCTTACAGCATGTTTGCTTGCAGCCCTGGGGTCGTCCTCTTAAAGTGGGTGTGTCCCGCCCGTGTGTGACTGGGACTTCTTCCACGACCTTGGCTTTGGAACACCCAATGCTTTTCACTACATAGGAGATGGAAATATGAGTATTTCAGACAAAGATTTAGACCTTAAGTCCCAACACTCTTGAGTGAGAAACACTGATGGCTCAGGACTACCAAGTGCTGGCAGTCCACATTGTTTGCAGACAAGTCAGCGTGTCAGATCAGAATGTCAACTGCAGTGTTGCTGCTGCGGCTAGTGTCTTCCTTTGCTTCCTCTCAGTTACCCATTCAACAGACGCCTTCATGCTGCACGCTTAAACTTGCACAGTAAGGCAGCCCCCACCTCACAGAGACACCGGCTCCTTTTGGAGACCAGTGCTGATGTTACCCAGCTTCCAAAGCTGGAAGCGGTTTGCTGTGAAGGAAAGGCGCCTCAACAGTTTGAATTAGCCAGCTATCCTAGGCGAGGCTTATCAATATAACAAGAGAATTACACGGCCTAACTCCTGGCACGTAGTTAGGGGTCAGTAAATACAGAGTGAATATTGAGAAAATGTGTTGAGAGAGCTAGGTTTTCTTCTGTATTTTCTTTCAGTTTCAGAATCTTCTGGTCGATTCAGGTCATAGTCAAGCAGGGTTATGTCAGAATTTGCTGCGTGGGTCCGCTAATAGGTCAAGCATATCATTTGCATTATGTTTTAAAGAGGACATGTGGCTAGTAATATATTTGTAATATAATAATAATACATACTATGATAGTATAGTTTTAATTTTGTAGGAGCCAAAAATTGATTCTCAAGTAACTGAGTGTGCTTCAACCAAGGGTCTGGATTTAACTGTGCTGTGTGTTCTGGAGAGAAAGTCGTTCCACGGATGGCTGGAGGCAGCTCTTTGTCCCTGCGTTTTGTCTTTCTCAGAAACTCTCACGCCCATCTCGGTCACTTAAGATGGCTGACTTATAAGAGTTGGAGGACGCGTCCTCTGGAATGGATCTAGCCACAGTTTGTCCTGCCATGGAGAGCAGGGCCAAGTGCCACAGCACAGTAGTAATAGATACGAGAAGCAAGGAGCCAAGCTCCCAGGGGGAAGAATAAAGCCGGAAGGGGACTTGCCTGCAGACAGGGCTACAACTGAACGGGCCAGCCAAGCTTGGGGTAGCTTGGCTTCTCGCTGCAGCGGAACACAAGTGTCAGATCTCCTTGAATCTTGACAATCCACTTGAAAATCGCCAAGAGCCGATCCAGGAGTTAGGTGCAGCTGCTTGTATCAAGTTGGAGTCTTGTAAAGAAGAGTTGTCTCAGAGGAAGCAAATATATTCTAAGGCTGATCTAAGACAATGCTAATCAAAGCTCCACGCTATCCCAAAACTGCATCAGCTCTTGATTTTATGAGCAGCTGGTAGAACAGGTGAAATGTTTGGCCTGAACCAAGCCCTTCCTGTGATCATTTGACAAGACTTATCTGCTTAGGGCATGGTGCTTGTACTTCGTGCAGAATACAGAATGCAAGTCTCTTCTAAAAAGGTTGCTCCAAATGACCCAAGGAATGGCCGGCAGAATGCCTGTCGTTTGTGGGATGGTTAAAGGGCCTCTCCTATTGGGAGCCTCACTCAGGACTGCACTCATGGTTCTTGTTGAGAGCAATATTTCTCATAATCATTTCGGGAAAACCCATGACTGATCTGATAGGGAAATAAGGTTTCCTAGAAACGCTAATGGAATTGTTTGGAGCTGAGACTCGGGCACGATCCCGTCTGACTTGTTTGGGCATTGAGCGCTGGTCCACCTGGAAAGACCTTCTCAGATGCCTGGCTCAGCCCATCTCTGCGGTCACTTACCGGGAGGGTGGACGGGAAGAAAAACAGTCCAGACCTAGCTTGTGATGTGGTCAAGGACAAGCTCAAGGAGAGAGTTATTGACAGCCATACAAGTCACACTGCAGTCATGGGAGTGGGGCTGGACGTCCTCACTCCAGCTCTGTGCAAGTCTCTTAGATCATCAAGTCAACTGTGGGAAAAGCTTGCTGAATGGGAAGCCTTTTCCTGTTGTCTTTTTATGGTTTAAGCTTGTGATTGGTGGTAGTTTTGTCTGATAGATGAAGTTATATGTGTTAAATATAAAAAATGTTGTCAAGTATTTTGACCAATTCTGAGTCTGTGTGGTCACCAATGGCCATCACCAGCACTATTCTATAGGCAAAAACAGCATTATTAGAAGGCAATTTGAGAGACATATCATGTCTATGCAAACAACAGATACAGTTTTCCCACTGAGGGTCTATGACCTCCCTAGCTGCAGGTTCCTGACAGTTTATGCTACAGGCTAGGAATACCTTCCTGTGGAAAATCTAGTCAGCAAGCAAGTGGTTACCTCCCCACCCCCCTTAGTTAGTTTTCCATTGTTTCAGTAACACACCACAACCAAGGCCACTCACAAAGAAAGCGTTTACTTGGGCTTATGGTTTCAGAGGGTTAGAGGCCACGATGGGATGGTGGCAGGAACAGCTGAGAGCTCACATCTTGATCCTCACTGGAACACACCAGGAATAGTTCAAGTGTTCTGAAACCTTCAAAGCCACCCCCAATGATACACCTCATCTGATAAGGTCACTCGACTATTCCCAGACAGTTCCACCAACTGAGGACCAAGTCTGCCAATATATGAACCTATGGGGAGGCATCTCATTTAAACCACTGCACCCCCCCCACATCACACCTGCCACTGTCACCCGTGGGCTCATCTTGCCTTGCTGGGTGGTGTTCTTACATGCCAGGTCTAGGCTGTTGCCTTGCTGGGTGGTTTTCTTACATGCTGGGTCTAGGCTGAGTAGGGTTATTAATGACAACTCTCCACTAACAACTCGAAAGTATTTCAAAAGAAAGGAAGAAACTAAAAATTACTTTCTGTGATTTAAAATTTTTCTAAAAAGTATGTTATGTGCATGAGTATTTTGCCTACATGCAAATATAAGCTCTCCTTGCATGCCTGGTGCCCATGGAGGACAGAAGGGGACATCAGATCCTCTGGAACTGGAGGTACGGATGGTTGTGAGCCACCGTGTGAGTGCTGGGAACTGAACCTGGGTTCTTGAGCCATCTCTCCTCTGTGAATTTTAAAGAGAGAGGTTATTTTGTTTTGTTTTGGAAATAGCTTAGACAGGCTTTAACCTCATGATCCACCTCTGAGTCTTGGGATTACAGGGGTGTGCCAGTGTACCCAACCACATGTGTGTTTTGGTGTGGGTTTTCTACTGTGAAAACACACGCGTGTGTGCACACGCACTCGCAGTAACATGGAACACATCCTCTGAGCCATCTTTCAATCTAGTTCCTGAGTTAACCCCTGCACACCAGTCACTGCAGTCTGTTTCCAGAACTTTCCTCTCGGATTGCATGTCCTTCATGTGTCTCTTTGACGCGAATCCCAGTGAGGTCGGTGTGTTTCATCCAGACCACCCCAGTTAGTGGTGCACCCTCCTGAAGTTGCTCTTTGTATCTGTCCTCCACGGTCTCCCCTGCCTCTCTTGTTCTGGGGTCCAGGGGAGTTCTGAAATATGTCCCTTGCCCCTCTGTGTCTGGCTGGAAATTTTGCTAATGGAAATCTTACCAGCTGAATCATAGAATCCGGTTTATTCTTTATTTTTATGTGCATTGGTGTGAAGGTGTCAGATCCCCTGCAACTGGATCTTCAGACGGTTGTGAGCTGCCATGTGGGTGCTGGGAATTAAACCCGGGTCCTCTTAACCACTGAGCCATCTCTCCAGCCCCCTGGGCCTACCTTTTCCTGTGAGGGTCCTGAGGCTCAGCGAGCTGATGGATCTGTACCAGAGCCGTACATAAACCCATCCTCCTGACCCCCTGGCCCTCCGCTCATCATTTCCACCTGAAAACAATCACATTGTCCACCCATCTCCCCTTTCATGCCTAGCTCTCAGGCTTGATTTGATTTCATTCCTGAACTGTGCTCCTAGAAGGCAGAGCTCAGAGCCTTCCCGTGAGTGCTCCCCCCTTCTCACCTCTGGAGTGTTTATGCAGCCTCTGCCACAGTTAGGGGAAGAATCAAGTTCTCTTTTGGTGCCTGAAGGAGAAACGTGTCCATCGCAGGAATCAGGTTGCCGAGAAGGGGTTAGAATGCAGCATAAATCATCAAGAGGCCTCTCAGAAGTATGCGGCAAGAGGCCGCAGTCCCGGAGGCCTCCCCCACCCCCTCATCGCTCTCGGCTAGTGCAAATCAGTGAACAAATTACACACCTGTCATCAAAGCATGAGGTCCCGAAACTGCCACAGCTGGAGAGTGATTCCTCTGTAATCCGGGCCTGAGGACCTAGTGGGGCATGGGATTGCAGGAGTTGCTGGTCGAAGTGTATGATGTCCACAGCCTGGCTCCCAGGCACGACTCTGTTAGGTCGTTGGAAGGAGCCTGGCTCTCCTTGGCAGGTAGATCTGAGGCCAGCCGTCATCCTTGCTATTGACAGACGATCCCTTCCGGTTTATGAACCGAACTGCTCTGCCCACGTGCATTCTCTACTAATGGGACCCCAAAGCTTGCCTTGCCTGTGGTGACCAAGCTCTTCTGCAAATAACCAGTCTCCTCCTTGAGGGGACAGGAGACAGCCTGGTGTCTGGCTTAAGGAAGGAGCCATATGGTGGCCGATAAAGAAACCTGTTATTCTTCAATCTGTGTTACTTTGCAGGGGGACCAGACAGCCTTGCACCGGGCCGCTGTGGTGGGAAACGTTGAGATCATCACAACGCTTATCCGTGAGGGATGTGCCCTGGACAGACAGGACAAGGTGAGGGGGGTGGTAAGGAGTGCAGGACCCTGGGGAGCTGGGAGCCAGCTTGTTTCACCACTGTGTGCTCACGATGTTGTCCTTCTCCCATCATGCAATGAGAGAGGTCAACCTAGGTTTCTCTGAAAGATCAGGGTTCCAGAAGTCGTGTTTGTTTACACGCCCTTCCCTCTGTTGTGAGGCTCTGTGCTGACAACTTAGTCCAGGTCAGTGTAGAAGTCAGGACCTATGAAGGTCCACGGAAGGTGGGGGAAAGGCCCCTCAGAAGCTCTGTTTCTTAGATGCACAAGCAAGTTAAATGTTTTAGTTCTGAAGAAAGCGAGTCAACCGAAGAATTTCTTTATTCCAAGAATCCCAGCACGTATGCCAGTGTTTTTAAATTGTCAAATCTTAAAATGTGCGATTTCTGTATTTAAGTGCAGTACAGACTCTGCATCCTCCCCCCCTTACACACACACACACACACACACACACACACACACAGAGCTTTTCTTTACAGTACCGTGTGTGTGCAGACAGTAAAGGTGGTACCAGGTTCCTCCGCACATCCAGCGGGGCCTTGTGGCCCCTGCCCTGCCCAGCCTTGTCTCTGGAACCCTGGCTCGCCTCTCGTGGGTGCCAGGTGCATTGGGTTTAGCTCTTTAGGGCCCATCTCTAGATGGACGTAACTGGAGAATGTGGTCCTGCCCGAGCAGGCCCACGTGTGAGTTCCTACCTGCCTGTCTTTCAGCCCCTCTATCAGAAGCAAGTGGGAGCCAACTTATTAGTTTGTATTTAAAAGCCATGTATCTAGAAATCTTGCTTTGCTTTTTACAATCACTGTTTCTTCGATTTTTGGTCATTTAGAATCCTGGGGGTTTTATGCTAACTAGAGACCACTGAATTTTGTTTGTTTTGTTTTGTTTTTCCGAGACAGGGTGTCTCTGCATAGTGCTGGCTGTCCTGGAACCCACTCTGTTGACCAGGCTGACCTTGAACTCACAGAGATCCATCTGCCTCTGCTTCCCAAGTGCTGGGATTAAAAGTATGTGCCCAGCAAAACTATTAAATTTTGGTAAAGAGATAGGTATGGTGTTACATGCCTTTAATCTTTTTTTTTAATTTTTAGTTTTTGGAGATAGGATTTCTCTGTCCTTGACTGTCCTGGAACTTGCTCTGTAAAATAGACTGGTCTTGAACTCACAGAGATCAGCCTGTCTCTGCTTCCGGAGTGCTGGGATTGAAGGCATGTGCCCCAGCACCCACTTACTTTATTTTATTTTATTTTATTTTATTTTGGTTTTTAGCACTCAAATCTTTTTATGTGCTCTGTGGTTCTGATGGGTCCTATTGAGGAAGACCCTGTAGCCATTGTAATACATTGTTTTAGCAAGAAGAGCCAGACTATGGGTAATGTGCTATCTTCCGACGTGTTTACTCAGGATGGAAACACAGCCCTCCATGAAGCCGCCTGGCATGGGTTCAGCCAATCAGCCAAGCTGCTTGTTAAAGCGGGAGCCAACGTGCTTGCCAGGAACAAGGTGAGGCCCAGCAGCTGACCTCCTCCTTCACAGGTGAGGAGGGTTGTGGAAGTCTTTGTCCCAGGTTGTCTCCTGCCCATGAGAAGCGCTGGGCAGAGCTCACTGGGGCATGGAGAATCCCGCAGGGCAGGTTCACCTAGGAGGCTCACTGCAGAGGTAGGAGGGCTGTGCTCCAGGCAGGCTAAGCATGCCACAGTGCTGCTGAAACCCCCGCTGGTGTGAGAGATTCCCCCCCCCCCCGCCACTGCTGGGAACCTGTCCTCATCATTTGACTTCTGTTACAAAGAATAGCAATAGAGAGTTGGCATGAAAAATGTCAGCAGAGAACCAAAATGCTGGCAGTCAGTAGAGGCAGGTAGGGTAAGTGGGCTGGGGAACTGGAATTGGAGCAGCTGCTTTGGGGAAGCAAGCTGTACCGCAAACGTGGTTCTGTAGGATAGCACGTCAGCTCAGGGGTAGAACACTTAGCTCTGGTTCACAAGGTCCCCAGGTCAATCCCTGGCATGAGCTAAAGGGAAAAGAAGTTACCTATTTGTAGAGTGGCTACCATCCCAGGTTTTGGTTGGTAAAGCAGCAAAGTGTGATAGGAAAGCTTTGTCCTTAAGTATATCTGTGATAGCAATAAGTAAAGCGATAGAAAATGCAGGAGAGGAACCTAACATTATTCACTTAGAGCAAACACAATATAGTTTAAGTCACAGTTTCGATGATAACGTTAGGAGCCATGAAGGAGCATGACAGAGGAGTACATGATCGCACACATATGCTTCCGTGCTAATGTCAGTTTACCCTTTGTAAAAACAGAGCCTGGAAAGATAGCACCAACATATTAACAGTGGCTGTCTACTTGAATTTAGACTTACTCATTTTTGGTGTCGTTTTTGCTTTGGTCCCTGTCTCAAGCTTTCTAAACTGAACTGATGATCTCTTCAACCACTAGGAGAAGAGACATGTGTTATGTTAAAAGCAAAAGAGGCACTGTCAGTACTCTGAGAATATCCGCAGTAGTGTTGAGAAGGGGTTGCCTTTTCTTTCCTTGGATGGCTAGGATGGGATGGCCAGGATGGATCTGTGGCCAGTGCGTAAGGAGCCTGGGGATTTCCCGCAATGCACTTGCTTGGCTGATGGCCTCACATAGAGAAGTGGAGGAGTACTGAATCTGCCTGGGGAGGAACAGGACCATGCTTAGCATTAGACAGATATGCACGTGCACTAGCAACACACACACACACACACACACATGAGTATGGCACAGTAGAACCAGAAACCAATTGTCCGTAGCCCGAGATCCTGCACACACACCATCACACAAGGTCTTCAATAACAAGTTAGGCACAAGATCGAATACTAACTAGCCAATCAGAAATAGTCTCCATCAAATCTGACTTCTCTGGGCCTCACCTGCTATGGTGCCTTAAATGAGAACTGGAGAAACTCTGCTGAGCTCAGCAAGGGAGGTAGGAATACGGGGTCCCAGAGAACCTGCTACAGCTGCTTTGAAATCCCTTGGCCCTCACTACTCTTTCCAGCCCTTTCTGGAGTATGGTGAAGCAGGAAGCTCTAGCGCTCACATAGGCAGAGGCGGATCCATTGCTCTACCTCCTCCTGTCGTGTGTGTCTCCTCTCTGATGTCTTCTCTGTCTCACACCCTCCTTGCTCTTTCCCTGCTCATCGTGATTGTCCCTGGACTGTTCCAGAAGCCTCACAGTGGAGTAACCAGCTTGAGCTTGGTGCCTTCCCACCCTGCCAGAGCCCTCTCAGTGACCAGTCTGCTCTGGTGTCTCCCTGGCACATGCCCGCTACACTTCACAGTGTCTCAAGAGGCGTCCTGGTGCCTCCATTTTAGGTGCAGCTCTTCCTTGCCTCTGCCTACAGCCATCTAACCCGGGCCTTCCCTGACCCCGCTGGGCTGTTCTGCAGCTCTCCTTGGGCAGCTTTGTGGTCACATTGCTTATGCTTCCTTCATGGACTGACGCCTGCGGGATCCTGCAGGCTGCATAACCAGCAACACTTCCCTCATGTCCTCTCAGGTGGGGTGTTCCATTCTTCAAGATAGTGCATAGTCTGCTTGGCTTTTTATACCAACTGAGAAATAGGTTGTCTTGGTTGTGAAGAGGTTAAGTTTGAGCTGGGAGCTCGTAGAGTCCTTGGTTTAGACACACGTGTTGTTTGTGACACCTTCAGGGCCATAAAGCACCCCAGGTCTGTCTGCTGCAGCATGTTGTCTCCTTTCCAGGTAGGGCTCCCGGAGGACTATGGAAAGCCACGGTTCTTTCTTAGGATAAAGTGGAGAAAGCTGCAGAAATACCCATAGGGTCATTCATGGCATCCCAACGAGGGATGTTTCCATTCTTCAGACAGCTTCAGAGGGGTCATCTTGAAAGTGCTTCTTATTTAGCAAAAACAGCAGCATCATGTTGGAGAGTCAGGACCCGTCATTTTGGGTGCTGATCATGCATCTGCTGGAGGCTACATTTTTAATGGCAGGCTTGGAGGTGGGGTTGACATAAAGTCTACTTTTTAGGAATGAATCGCGTCCTGTGCGTTCAGACAGGCGTATGTGGTTGTGTAATTGCCAGCACCAACACAGAATGTTCCGTCACTTCCAGAAACTTCTTTTGTACCCTTCGGTGGCAGTCTGCTAGTTGACCCCTCCAAGCCTCTAACAACCTCTACCCTGTGTTGCCTTTTCAAAAATAAGCCGTGTTTCCATAAATGGTTGAGATCCCAACATGTTGTTAACACATGTTAGTCCTTTCTATTGCTGAGTGGGACTGTACTATGTGGATGTATGTTATCCATCCATACCTATACAGTGCTCTCTCTCTTTCTCTCTCTCTCTCTCTCTCTCTCTCTCTCTCTCTCTCTCAATTCATTTTATGTGTATGAGTGCATGTATATATGTACACACATGCATGCCTGGTACCTGCAGAGGCCAGAAGAGGGCATCAGATCCCCTGGAATTGACTAGAGTTACCAATGGTTGTGAGCTGTCTGTGGGTGCTGGGAATTGAACCTGGGTCCTCTGGAAGGGCAGCAAGTGCTCTTAGTTTCTGAGCCATCTCTCCAAGACAATGTTTACTTTTCTTGAGCCAAGCAATTTCCCACAGAATTGATATTTCCCGGTCGCAAAGGACCCTTTAGTGTGCTGGATTTCTAGGGCCATTGGGTTTCTTTTATTTCACTCATTTTTTCAGCACGTATTGACCACCACCGTAAAGTCAGCAGCTCAGAGATCAAGTCTTTAGCCACAAGTAGATGCCTTGCTGTGGAGAGCTAAGTCCATGGTTCTCAGCCTGGAAATTAAAACCTCAATAAACAAATAAATAAAAAATAAAGGTCACCTCTAAGCCAGGCTTGATTCTCAGAGAGATTCTCAGAATGCAAGACATTGACTGCTAGGTCGGGCTTTGCCCGTCAGGCTGAGGAAATTCGAGTCCAGAACAGGGCCACAGTCCTGCACCCAGGAGCTTCCGGCATGCGGCAAGGGTGACAGGGAGGGTTGAGGCAGCCGACCTCACCAGGCCGCTGGCTCACCATCCTCCGCATCCTGAGGGATAATGCCTGGCACGGCTGATTAAGCCACGGTTTTGAAGAGTAAGTGATGATAAGGTTTTATTTGTTTGTTCGTTATCTACTTCCAATGTTGCAGTGTTCTTTTTCAAAAAGAATGTAACACCTGGAGGGAAGGGGAGGGGAGGGGAGGAAAGGCTCGAGGCTCTGGGCTGGGGCCACCGCACCTCTTCAGGTCACCAGGACAAAGCCTTGAGCCAGCATTTGGTCAATGGGTGCTCAGACTCACCTGCTTTTCCCACTAAGAAATGAAAAAATACTTTTCTTGGGGTTTTCTGCAGCTGTTAGGACCTATTCCCCTAGAATCAAAGAGTTCTGTTCACACTATGCCATTTGCAAAATTATTGTGGACCTTTTTCTGAGGTGGTATAGGAAGCTGCAGTATCGCCTCTTAGACCAAGATTCTTTCATAGTTCAAGTGTTTATCTATTTTTTTCGAGACAGGGTTTCTCTGTAGCTTTTGGTTCCTGTCCTGGAATTAGCTCTTGTAGACCAGGCTGGCCTCGAACTCACAGAGATCTGCCTGCCTCTGCCTCCCGAGTGCTGGGATTAAAGGCGTGCGCCACCACCGCCCGGCTCAAGTGTTTATCTTTAAAAAACACTGAAGAACAGACATCTCAATACAGGCCTACAAGACAAAGTTAGCCACCATCCCACCCCGCTTCCTGGAAGTGTCCGAGCCCAGCCACTGCCCATGCTGCCCAGGGCCTGAGGAAGGGGACTCAAGATCCATTTCTGGTCAAGAAGTCAACATAAGCCATAAGCATGTGACGTGCTTTTCTGAATGAGGGGCAGAGACAGGACTCAGAGCCAAAGTTTAGGGACAGAGCTGACTCTACAGCCTGTTTGGACTCTACCTTCATGGTTCTTCCATCTGAAACACCAGCTGAGGTCTGTCACGATGCAGAACTGTGACAATGGCTGGCTTCTCCTGGAGGAAGAATCTCTGTGTGCATGGCAGGTCTGTGCTGCTAATGCGTCCCCCCCTTCTCTCCTTCTCTCTCGAAGGCAGGGAGCCCGATATGCTACTAACTTGCCCCCCTTCTTTCTCCTCTCTCCCAGGCAGGGAACACGGCTCTGCACCTGGCCTGCCAGAACAGCCGCTCCCAGAGCACACGCGTCCTCCTGCTGGGCGGCTCCCGGGCTGACCTCAAAAATAACGTGAGTGAATGCACCAGCTTCTGTGTTGTGTTGCCTTGGAAACGAACCCCCAAAGCAGAGTCAGTGTTGATATCTAGAAACTAAAGCGGCAGAGTGTTTGGGGCCTAATCTCCAAATTAATTTTTTGCTGATTTTCTCAGGGTTCATTTAAGGGAAAATGCTGCTTTCTCCACTTGTGCCTTGAGTTTACTCTCTCTCTCTCTCTCTCTCTCTCTCTCTCTCTCTCTCTCTCTCTCTCTTTATTTTTTTTTTTTTATTTTTGCCACATGTCACAGACTCTGATAGCTGGTCCATCAGTGATTTTCAACCTGTGGGTCATGACCCCCTTAGCAAACCTCTCCCTCCAAATATATTTATACTACACTTCATAACAGTAGCAAAATTATACTTATGAAATAGCAACAAAATAATTTAATGGCTGGCCGGGGTCACCATAACATGAGGAACTGTATTAAAGGATCAAAGCATTGAGAAGGTTGAGGACCACTGATTTACGTGTTTTAAGAACATCTACCCACGTAGAGCACTGTAGAGCTACTGTCTGAGACGGTACCAGGCAGGGCTGTCCTGGGACCCTCTTCTGGGGCAGCTGTTGACCACTGCAGTGTTCTTCCCACGAGCAGGCAGGGCAGTGGCTGTAGAAGGATGTGTCACTCAAAGGGCTTGAGAGCATCCTACTTCCTGTGTTTTCTGAGGAGTCTGTGGCGTAAGCTTTTCTCAGAAATACTAATATCTCCCTGCTTGGGGAAGACTTATATAATATAGTTCTAGAATTCCCTATGCTAAGTGGCTGCGATCTAGACAGACAGGAAACCCCAGCAGGAGCCCGTCAAGCGTCCTGACGATCTGTCTCTGTGTTGTCACAGGCAGTGGAGTCTGGCTTTGCCCACTAAGAAAGCTTCTGAGAGTCTTCTGATTCCTCAGCTCCCTAGGCTGCATTGCTCCAGAGAGGATGTTAGCATCCTTCCTGCTGGGTCTCATTCCAAAGCAACATCGTTGTCTTAACTTGATTTATTCCAGACACTGTGCTGTAGGGGAGGCCGGGGTCCATGGAGCCTATCACCCACATTAGCTTCTCCAAAGTGCTCTTGGGGAGCAGGTGTCTAGTTTTATATACACAAAAGCAAAGCCAAGCAAAGGTTCTTGGGGTTGGAGCAGCTATGTTAAAGGGGCGGCTTGTCGTTCAGACTAACGCTTCCTACAGCATGGGCAGTTGTCTGACAGCTCTTAAGTGCTGACCTTTCTTGTTGTTAGGTTTCTGTGCTGAGACTTTGGTTTCCACCCACAGGCAGGAGACACCTGTTTGCACGTGGCCGCGCGGTACAATCACTTGTCCATCGTTAAACTCCTTCTCAGTGCTTTCTGCTCGGTTCATGAGAAGAACCAGGTCAGTGCACGTAACCCTCTTCACAGTGACCTGTGAATGATCTTGGGAGACCTTGCCACGCTTTTGCTTATACTGTGATTTCATCGAGAACTCCTACAAAACGGAGCGTGCTAGAGGAGAGGAGCAAGGGATATAGGTGTCTCGTGAATTCTGCTCTTTCATTTCCCGCTCTGCTACTTCTGGGTGAACTGCTGGGTCTCCTGCTTCGTTTGCCTTAGTGAGGGACTGGGTGCTTAAACCTGGGATTAAAATTAGATTGTGGGACAGATTAAACATGCCCTACAACAGTGACTTCAACCTGCCTATGAGAGCCATCAGGGACATGAAGATGCCACCCAAAGAGCCAAAATCTCTGTGGTTTAAGTTCAGTGGCATACTTTTGTAAATCTCCCTCCTGAAGGTGTGCCAGGTTGAGAATCATTAACTCATCAAAAGCCTCTTCCCAGTAGCTTCCAGGTCAGAGGCTACCCACCCACCAGTCTCAGCAGTGTGTGAGAGCAGGGAACACACCTCCCATCTCAAGCCCACCCTCAGAAATCCCCGCACCAAACCCATGCTGTACCCAAGTGAAGTCAAGTCTAGGAGTGTGATTCGGGCTTTGATACTTCTTCAGGCGGGGAGTCACTTCCCCAACACACAGGACTAGTGATGGGGGTGAAATCTACCCAAAGATGGCTGAATTTCACGCTGCTGTGGCGGGGAGGGATGAGTCTCATGTCTGTGTTTGTCTGTCACTCCCTATGGAAATGACAGCCCGCCTTTGGGAGCTGGCTTCGTTTCAGGACCGATCATCCGGGAACAGTTTGTATAAAGAGAATATGAAAACTTAGAGGCTGGAAGGGAAAGTGGAGAAAGCAGTCAGCCTTAACCAAATCAGGCCTTTGTGTCCCCACCTAAGCCTGCAGATGAACTGTCCCGGCTCCCTGGTCCAGGCTGAAGGCCAGGCACAAGCTTTCTCTCAGCTTCTCCTCAGGCCCAACTCAGAAGCCAGGCACTAACGCCCTGGGCTAATACACGGGGTCCAGACCTCTGGGTGAGATGGTCTCAGCTCCTCAACCTTCCTCCTAGGAGCTTGGAAGTCCTCCGTTCTCAGCAACCCAACTGGTCCTCTTCACCCCTACATTCGTGACCCTGGTCTGTAGCTTCTGGACTGCATGTTATGAACTGTTCAGCTTTGTCCCCTCAAGGCTTTCGCAGTGAGCTTCACATTTGCAGGGCAAATTCTGCTTGGCTTTAGAGAGTGTCCTAGGCAGAGATGCACAGCTAGCCTGGGACCAATAGGCGTATTTAGCAAACTCTCTTCTGGTTGCTTGCAGGCTGGAGACACAGCCCTCCATGTGGCTGCTGCCCTAAATCACAAGAAGGTGGTTAAAATCCTGCTGGAAGCTGGCGCTGATACGACCATTGTGAACAATGTAAGTTGAATGGCAGCCCTGCGCCTCCCCCACCACCACCACCAGGATTCAGTGAGCTTCACCCTCTTGGGTCCTCATCTGGATTGGGCCAGCTCTGAGCAGCCCCAGGAATTAACTCTTAGACCCTGGGCTGGCGTGAACACAGCCTGGCAAGAAGAGAGTTCTGAAGGGTTCTCAACAAGCCGGCATGCGGGCCTCAAGATGGCCTCCTGGCCAGCTGTAAACCCATCTCGGGATTCTGCTTCTTTCTCTTGAGGGCTCTGCCCTCCCTCCCTCCCTCCCTCCCTCCCTCCCTCCCTCCCTCCCTCCCTCCCCCCCTCTTTATCCCTTCTGTCCGCTCTTCCTTCCTTTTCTCAGTATGCTTGATAGTTTCTATAAGTCCCATAGCAGGTACCCTTCTTCTTCCAAGAGGTCTGGGGCACTAAAGCTGACTTTTTTAGCTCTGTGTCTAGTTCACCCCGCCCCCACCACACCCCCTTCCTCCATTATATCTCTGAGCCTGCCTGGTGCCATAGTTACCTTGTCCCTGGTGACCAGGACACACACACTGTCCTTCCCTTTGGAATCCCACTGACATCCTTTCCTGACGTTTAATCTTACAGACTACATCACGTCTGTAGCTCGGTGCTGAGACCTCTCCTATCGGGGACTTCGTGCCTAGAGGTGGATTTCCTGATCCTTTGTGTTGCTCAACAGGAATGCCCACCTTGGTCTTCCTCGTGTTACATCCCTATTTTTCCCACCATCTGAGGCTAAGAGGTTTTAATGAGCCTTGCCGATGGGCTCCGCTGAGGGACTGAGGCTCAGGAGGAGTGACCTTCGGCCTGAGTGTGATGCATAGTGGAACTGCCCACTGCTGGGGTCCCTTTGTCACCTGCCTTCCCTGTGTCTTTCCTCAGGCAGGCCAGACCCCGCTGGAGACTGCCCGCCACCACAATAATCCTGAAGTTGCTCTGTTGCTCACCAAGGCTCCCCAGGTAGGACTTAAAGCATCTTACTGACCCTGTGGGGCTACACAGTTGCCAGGATTCCTGCTGTGGTCTGTTGAAGCCAGGTGAAAATAAATAAGAATTGCTGGTTAAGAGGAGAGGCGGTGCAGAGTATAGACATCTGTGTGGTGCCAAGTCCAGCTCTTTATCCAGTGTGCCATTCTCTTGCTGAGGTGTGAGCTTGCTATCACTAAGTTCTGGGGCCCTACTCTGTCCATTCTGCTTCATGCCAGAGCTAAGACAGGACACTGTTCTGTGGTGTTTGCCATTGCTCATTCTAGTGGAAGCAATCAATTCCTTAGTGTTGGGAAAGCAGGCTATTCCAGAGCAAGGCTGGGAACGGTGATTTGTCCGTCTTATCAAGGCTCAGAGACTTGGAAAGAATCTTCTGAGAACCATGCTGCCAGTACCTGGGGCCCAGCGTGTCACATGGCCCTCTAAGAACCTTGCTGCTAGTACCATGGCCCAGTATGTCACATGGCCTTCAGAGTCCCATGCCACTAAGTACCCAGGCCCAGCGTGTCACGTGACCCTCGTTTCACTTAGTTTTAAAGACATGCTCATATGGCTGGCAGTAGTTTCTACATTGCTGATAATTCTTCTCTTCTGTAAGAGGGACCAGCCTTGTGCACAGGGAGCGGGTGCTGCTCAGTGGTATCTGATGTGGGCATCGGGTGTGAAAAGCTGCTAGAAGCTTACTGCCCACTGTAGGGAGCCTGTGAAGTCCTGAGTGAATGTGTGCTGCTGACGTGAGAGTGGCCATGCCAAGGACCCCGAAGCCTCAGACCCATGGGAGCCGCAGGGTCTTCCCCTGGTGATATTGGGGATGGCAAAACCAATGAGCCCTCAAGGCTGAGAATGGAGGGCTCGAAAGCCTTCTGGTCTATGAGTGAATGTTGAAAGTGTGTGCAAAAACTGTTCACCATGACTTTTCCCCCATAGATGCTTACAATCCGAAGACTGGTCCCATAGAGACTGCCCACACTCAGATTAGCTAAACCTTCCTGTTCAGTTGTATACCATAAACCCAGCCCCCTTGTATATAATTGTTGAAATAAGAGCGGCAGGGCTGCGTCCCCGGCACCCGGCCGCCCGCCTGGCTAGTTTATGCCCAGAAATAATTACACGGAAACTGTATTCTTTCAAACACTGCCTGGCCCGGCTAGTTCCAGCTTCTTATTGGCTAGCTCTTACATATTGTTCTAACCCATTTCTAATATTATATGTAGCCCACGAGCTGGCTTACCAGGGAGGATCTTAACCTGTGTCTGTCTGGAGCGGGAGAATCATGGCGACTCCTCAACTCAGCTCCTTTCTCCCAGAATTCTGTTCTGTTTTCTCCACCCACCTAAGGGTTGGCCTATCAAATGCAAATGGGCCTAGGCAGTTTCTTTATTAATAAGAAATCACTCCCACATCATATAATGATCCCATATCCCTGTTCATCTGTATATAATAAACACGCTGAACTTCTAGGGTTCTGCAGCCACCATCAGAGGGAGCACAGCCAAGCTGATCTCAGCTTTGCTGTGTCTGTGTGTCCACGTGGTGTGGGAGGGCCTTCTGTCTATGTGTTGCTTTTATTGGTGAATGAGTAAAGAAGCTGCTTTTGGCATTTTATATATAATATAAAATATATTATTATATATTTTATATATAAATATATATATAAAATATAGCCAGGCTGGAAAGGATATAGAAAGAGAGTAGGCAGAGTCAGAAGCCAGAGACAGATGCACCGAAACTTTGCCAGTAGGCCACAACCTCGTGGTGATGCACAGACTAGTGGAGATGGGTTTGTTTAGGATGTAAGGGCTAGCTAAAAATATGCTTAAGCTATTGGCCAAACAGTATTGCAAATAGTATAATTTCTGAGTGATTATTTCATGGCCTGGGCAGCTGGGGACGAACAAGCAGCCTCTACCTACATCCATGTGTCTGTGTGCCGTGTGTTCTTCGTTCCCCAGGACCCCGTTCATGCAGGGATGTGGTACCCCACCTCACTCCAGCTTTGTGAAACAGAAAAATGCTGGTTTGTCACAGTCAGGAAGTAGAGAGCGTCATAGAAGTGTCCAGAGGCAGCAGTTCCGTCTGCCGTTTCAGCATTCAGCAGTTTGATCCCCACACAGCCCTGTTTATTCCCAGTCATACACACAGGCCAGCAGGTCTTGTGGGTTGCAGAATTCACCAGGCACATAGAGTGCTGTGTGTTCAGTCCACCTGTCGGTTGTCTGCCAGAGCTGGAGGATCTTCACCTTCTCTAGTACCCTGAACTGGTCTCCGTTGCATTCCTGTTTGAGAGATGGTTTGGGAATGAGAGCACTGGCTCAATTCCCAGCTCCCACGGTACAACCATCTGCAGCTCCAGTTCCAAGGGTCCAGTGCCCTCTTCTGGCTTCTATGGGAACTGCATGCATGTGATGCTCATTTGTAATAAAATACATTCTTTGCATATTGTAGTTTCACACACAACCCGCTTCGTCTGTCAAGAAAAATCTGTTTGTTGAAGCCCTTAGTTAAGTTTGGCTTTTGGTGGCCACAGAAGCACTAAGAAGAGGCCGTCCCCAAGGCCTCTGGACCAGTGTTCACAGAGTCCTGTGATCTGGAGAACACTGCCGATGTTCTGTTTGACCCCGCTACTCTGAGACAGGCTGCGAGCCGTACAGTTCTCTGCAGCTATTGGCATGGTCAGTGGAGGGTCGCTTGCTGCTGCTGCTTGGGTCAGGTGACCTTGTGTCTCTTGTCGTCGTCTGTGATGGCTGTATTCGCAAATGTGAAAAATTTCAGGCTTGGGGTCAGCTGGGCCTTGATGTAAGATTCCACACCAGGGAGCAATCACCACTCTCTGAGACTCACCGACAAGTCTGAACTCTCTGGGGCAATGGCTCTGAGACTTTTTAGTATCCATTTATTTATTTATTTATTTATTTATTTATTTTTATTGTTTTGTTTTTCAAAACAGGGTTTCTCTGTCTAGCTTTGGAGGCTGTCCTGCAACTCACTCTGAAGACCAGGCTGGCCTCAAACTCACAGAGATCCCCCTGCCTCTGCCCCCTAGGTGCTGGAATTAAAGGAGTGTCCCACCACCACCTGACGACTTTTATGTTCTTAGACACTGTGCGCCAGAGGCTGAAGGATCTTGGTGCCTCAGATCTGGGCTTGCTGGCTAAACACACTCTGCCAGCTAAACATCTTAGTGGCTAAGGACAGGCAGTGACAGCAAGTCCAGCCATCTCCTGTTCCCGGCTGATCCCGGCAGCTCCCCGTGTGATGAGAAGGAGCCCCTAGTAGCCAAAATCATGTGCTAAAACTCCTTGTCTGGTTGATGCTGGGTCCCCAGCATCTATTGTCCTGTGCCTTTGTTGGCTCCTTCTGCTTTATTGCCTTGTTAGGGGCAGGTACCAGTCCTCCCTGGGGAGCCACAGTTAGTCCCATGGCCTCCAGATATACCTCAGTGATGCCAGACTTAAACTGACGGGGTTTTTTCATACACTCTGATCAAGGAAACTAGAGGGTGGAAAATGACACTGCCTGGAGCAGGGCTGTCGTCACATGACCTGCCATTGCTTTCCTAGTTGTATGTAAGTGACATTCTCTGTTACTCTGCCATGCACACCTATCTGGCCACACCAGCCCAGCACATAAATGCTTTTATTATCATCATAGAAGCCTCCTGTGATCAGACACAATATACTTCCCATTTCTGGGTCCCTTTTGTGCTCAACAGAAGACTAAAGGGGCATAGGCAGTCCAGAGTTTTCCGTGACCACTAGTGTTTCCCACCACGCTGTGGGTTCTGCTAGGTCTGTGTGCCACGCCCAGGGCACTCTGACACGTGTTGGTGCTGTGCCCCCTTCGCCCCTACAACGGTGGTGTTTTCTCTTTTAGATTTTGCGCTTTAGTCGTGGGCGAAGCCTGAGGAAAAGGAGAGAGAGGCTCAAGGAAGAGAGGAGGGCCCAGTCTGTGCCCCGAGATGAGGTGGCACAGAGCAAGGTATGAGGGACCCTCCCACAGACCTCAGGTACCGCTGCTGCCCTCCTTGACCTGTCCTTTCCACTGGGTTCAGGCTGCTGCCCCTTCCCCCTGTCCCTGTAGTTCCAGATCCTGTATCTTTGTGTGTGTGTGTGTGTGTGTGTGTGTGTGTGTGTGTGTGTGTGTGTGTGTTTGTGAGAGAGAGAGAGAGAGAGAGAGAGAGAGAGAGAGAGAGCGAGCAGCCTTATCTTCCCTGTGTGCCCTGTGTGCCTGTGGCCGTTATGGTGGGCACAGCAGTACTGTACCCTGAATTGTGCAGAGCTTCAGTTCTGCAGCTGTGGTGCCCCTGCTGGACCTGTTGGCACAGGAGCTCTGGGTCAGGGTAGCCAGGTCTGTTTGAACAAGTTTTCTAGGTGATTCTGAGACCCACTAGGCTGCTTCTTCAGCTTCTAAAGGGAGAATGGAGTAAGGCAACTCTCCTGGCTTCTGTGTGGCATGGGGCACGGGGCAAACCAGGGTTGCATAATAGATAGAATACAAGCTTGCTGAACTTGGAGATTTACCCTTCAGTGGGTGCCGTTGTGCAGTGAGATATTTGATATCCTTTGTAAGTTCTTTTTGGGGGAAAGAGGTCTCACTGTGTAGTCCTGGCTGATCTGGATGGAGCTTGCTAGCTAAACTGACCTTGAACTCCCAGAGATCTGATCCACCTGCCTCTGTTGAGATTAAAGACATGTGTGAGGTACCTGGGTCTTTGAGAGTTCCTGGCAGGGACTATGTTACAGAGACCTTTTTGGACACATAAGATGTTATTACTAAGCTGGGCATGGTGCCACACACCTTTGATCTAAGCACCACAGTAAGCACCCAAGAGCATACTTCATTTCATCCCGATAAAAGCCCAGCCAGCCAGAAGCTGTTGCTGAGCCTGCCCACCAGGCAGAAACGCCTCTGTCACTGGCTGATGTCCCTGTGGGTCCGTGATTGGGTGGGATCTTGTAAGCAGAAGTTTACCCTGCTGGGGTCAGAGGCCAAAGGCTCAAGTGGAACAATCTGGGGGCTTCTCTTTTGTAGGGAAGTGTCTCAGCAGGAGACACCCCCAGCAGTGAGCAAGCTGTCCCCCAAAAAGAGGAAGCTAAAAGAGATTGCCCACCTGCTTCCCAGGAGCCCAGAAAGGAGGAAAGGAGGAGAAAGTCAAGGCCAGAGGTCAGGAGCAAGCAAGGGCGTGGGGGGGAGAGTGTGGATGGGGGGCATTAGGGGTTGGCTTGGAGGAGGGTCTGAGGTTACCTCCCCAGCTGGGACACCGTGTCTCCGGCTGGCTGTTTGGGAATGAGTACAAAGATGAAACCCACTGGCTTGAGACGCCGGAGAGGGCGCTCACATGTTTCTGGGTGGGTGTGCTGCTCTGAGCTCAGAAGCAAGGTGGGGTTTTTTATATTTTATTTCTGAGACAGGGCTATACTATGTGACGTAGCATGGGAGATGGGAAACGGGCGTTGCAGGGACTTAGGGGTGTCTTCTTTCTTTCCACAGGTGTCAGCACTATCTGACCCCACCCCAGCAGCTGACCAACAGCCTGGACACCAAAGGAACCCGCACAGTCATCACCACCCCAAAAAGAAGAGCAGACATCGATGCTGGTCCCCACCTCCACCCCATGGATTCAGGGCGTACCAGCTCTACACACTGTACCGGGGCGAGGATGGAAAAGTCATGCAGGTATCACCAGTTCTGACGGGCTAGCGGCCTGCAAACGCCAAGGGCAGGAGAAGCCCGTGCCTGGAGGTCAATGGCCACCCAGGGCTTGACTTTCAGACTTGGGTCACAAGGGCCCCCCCCATCGGAAGAGTGCAGCTTTACCGTGCCATGTAGCCCCCCAGAAAAAGTCCCTGTCCATAGCATCTGTACCATCCTGAGGGGACTTCTGTCTTGAGGCCCCAGAGTAGGCGTTCTGTCCTGAACCCCAGAGGATCAAGCCTCTTTAAGTTAGTTACAGTGTCTCACCCTCTGAATCTCAGTCCCTTTGGACTCAAAGCTCAACCAATGGGACGTTACGACATTCCAAAGCTATCTTGGGGATAAGTCTGTGCTCTTAGTCCTCTCAGCCTTCTGCCTCCTGCTGGTATCCTACTTGGTACAGTGGTTGCCCAAGATGATTTTTGAATAAAGAAGGGCTAATTTACTAATATCTCTCTCTCTCTCTCTCTCTCTCTCTCTCTCTCTCTCTCTCTCTCTCTCTCTCTCTCTCTCTCTCT